TGTTAGCTCAGTGACCATCTTCCTCAAGCAAAAAGAGGAAGATTGGTACGGACTTTAGCTCAGGGCCAATCTTCCTCAAACAAAAAATAAAGAAAGAAAGAAAAATAAAAAACAATCAAGAAGAAGCAAATGATAAGGAAATATATGTGGCTGTTAATGGGAATGACAAGCTTTATTGCTCTAAAAAATTACTGCAGTGTAGTTCAATTGAGTTTTTAAATTCATTAATGAATATCTTTCATTTTTGGAAATGAAAATGGTTCATTTGGTTCTTTTTCAAATTTGCTCATTCGTTTTTCAAAGGTCCTCTTTGTTCAATTTGATTTCTATTCCCACTCTTATCTCTTTTAATTAATTAATTTAAAAAGCTTATTTGTATCTCTTTCACAGTTTCACTATTATCTCTAGTCTCATGGGCACCAATTCTCCTAGTTGTTACATTTGCAGACTCTCCCTCATGGTGTTTCACATGTGGTTGGACAACAGGGGCAAAATCCACAGAATTCTGAGCGGGAAAGATAATGATCAATTGTATTATTAGTCAAGTTGTCCTTTTTGTATAAAGGCAACAGCTATTACCAGATAGCAAAAAACTCAGAAAATACACCATCCATGTGCCCTTACAGTTGTACGTCATTTAATGACAGGCTGTGTTCTGAGAAATGTGTGTGCGAACATCATAGAGTGTACTCACACTAACCTAGATGGTCTAGCCTACTACACACTTAGGCTACATGGTCCTAATGTTGTGGGACCACCATCATATATATGGTCTGTCGTTGACCAAAACATTGTCGTGTGGGGCATGACCGTATTTAAAAAGATGACATAAAATTATACACCAGCTAATTATGAGATAAATAAAAAATAATAACTCAAGGGTCTATAAGAAAGAATATAGACACCAATGTTTATTTTTCCTTCTAAGAATCCATTCTGAGGATATAATAAAAAATGTAGTCAAAGAGCTATGCACACAGATATATGCTGAAGATATTAATAAGAGGAGGAAAAAGGAAATAACTTAGATGTTCTAAATTAGCAGAGTATCCATATGGTAGAATGTTTATAAAGAATTATTGATTACATTGAGAACTACTTATGACATAATGCTAATTTTAAAACATAGGCTCAATAATATAAAGAAGAAAGAGACAGAAAAAAAATCAGAAGTAAATATGCCAAAATGTCAACAGCAATTGTCTCTGCATGGTAAGATTATGGATTTGTGTGTGTGTGGTTATTTCTTTATGCTTTTGTATACATTACAAATGTCAATGATCCAAATTAATTTGCTAATCAGAAAAGAGTAAAATGTATGTAATATTTTTAAAAATGAAAACTTCTAAGGATAACAATAGCCAAGAACTTAAACACCTGGGGCAACATTAAATAAGAAAGACAACATACCATGATACAGACTCTGACGTCATAATCTACAATCTATTCTCAACACAGCAGCCAGAGCATCCTTTAAAAAGCGGAATAAGATTCAGGTCATGTCTCTCCTCTACTCAAGACCCTCCAAGGCTCCCCATTTCATTCAGAGTAAAAGCCAAAGTCCTTACAATGGTCTACAAGGACCAACACGATCTCATCCCCTGCCACGTCTCCAATCTCCTCTTCCGACCCTGATTGAAGCCAGTCACATGGGTGTTCTTGCTGTTCCTATAACTCTTTATAAACATTATAAGCCAAGGACACACCTGCCTCAGGGTCTTTGCACTTGCTGTACCCTCTACTTGGAATGCTTTCCATCCACATAGTCACATAGAATGTTTCGGATCTCTGCTCAAATGTCATTTTATCAGTGAGCCCTTCCCTGTGCCCCATATAAAATAGCAGCTACCCCTAATGTTCCCAGCACCCCTTCCCTCTGTCACCCTGAGTCCTTTCTCACCATCTGTGACATGGCAGAATTTACTTTACTGTGTTTGTGGACTCCCTCTCCCACGAGAAGAGCTATTTTGCCTGGCACATAGAAGATGCTCAATAAATCTGTGTTGCATGCCTGAATGAATAAATGCGTTATTAACTGTATTTACTGTATTTAACTGTAAACTCCTCACGAGTGGAGGCCTGATGCTCACACCGCTGCGCCGCCGAAGTACACAAGACAAGCAGCAACGCCATCCCGACGGCCCCAGGGCCTTTCACCAGCGCTGTGCTCTCTCCGGAAAAAACTTACAATTACAGTCAGAGACGATGGAAGTGAAGCGTCAGAAGGAAAGATAAGCATGTTCAGGCAGAGTGGGACAGGAGTTAAAATTCAAGTTCTTCCATCAAGACACGACTTTTGCTGCAGGACACAAATCCAAATTTTTATCACAGACTCAGAAGTGGCTATTTGTGGCACCAAAAATGACATTTTAAAATGCTCTTTCAATATAGCTCTGTCTTTGTGGTGATTAGATATTTTTCTAAGAAAAAAAGGCATTAGGAAACCAATTACCCTGTCACTCTCCCGCCCCAAAAGCAGGCAGGAAAATGCAGCACCCGGGTATGGTACCCTGAGGCCCCCACAATCACAGACGCCCACTTCCACGGCCCATGCACGCCTGCTCAGTGCCACGGGACGCCTGCTGCTGCAGAGGGAAGGCAGCCTTCTGGATCTTGCTAAGTGTTACGGCCTCTAGAAATTCAAGGACAAACCACAGCATAACACAGAGCTTCATATTCTTTGCCTTAGAAAGATAAGAAAATTTATCCTGAGCTATTTCAGACTGTTCCGGACACCAGAGCCGTTGGAAGATTAGGCCGGGTTTGGTGGGGCGCCCTGCATGTGGGAGCTGAGGACAGTTAGGGAGCGTGAGGGTAAGTGGTGCTGGGGCTGGACGGGGCTGCTCCCTCCGAAGCTTCCACGGAATTATCACGTTCGCTAAATTCGTCTTTCCTTCCATCCACCTTCATTCCCTTGACAGCTCCTTCATCTCTGTCCTCCCACAGCTCAGTTGTGACCATCATTTCATCCTGCTAAGGTTCTTCCCCAAAGATGCTGCTGCAAGGAATTTCCTCCGGTGGATATCTGCATCTTAAAAGGGACCCCCTGGAAACCAGAAGGACCCCAAGTTCAAAGGGGGAGTTTCAGGCTGAGTGAGGGAGGGAGGGCGCTAACATGTACAGAGTACCTTTGCTATGCGGGATGTTTTGTGCACTTTATGACCTTGCTGAGTTCTCACAGCGTTTCTATGAACTAGGTACCATCATCTCCATTTGGGGTGAGAAGTCGGGGACCTCCAGGCAAGACAGAATGTTCACACCTTGAGTACCTTCCCCGTTCTAAAGATACAGCAGTGATGGATGAAAATATTCTAAAAATAAGTAAACTTATCTGTGCTCAAAATAAGATATATATCTCAATGGATCAGAAACTCCAAGATTTACTATTTTGAGGGCCTAAAGGCACAGCTTGCTGAGCTCTGGATCCAGAGGCCAGTGGAGGCAGCTGGGAGCTTGGTCTTCCAGGGTACAGGGACTAAAAAGTGTCCCATGAGAGGTGGGGGACCAGAACCAAAGTCACTGGAAATGGGGTCTGGTGAAGAGATTTCCCACCTGGGAAAAGAGGCTGAACAGAGCAGGGACCCCCTCCCGCCCTAAGAAGAGCTTATCTGAGCACATGAACACTGAGGGGAGCTGGAAGCAGCACACACACAGCCTGGGCCTGGCTGGACTGCCCCAGCTTTGATGACTGCCTCTGGATGTAATCCCATTATCTCCGTGGACACAAAGCTCATCACTAACCCAAGACACCTGGCCCTGCACTGGGGCACCTGGGACCTGGGTGGAGGTGACCGCAAAATCAGCCGGCAAGGAGAGCATGTGAAGGTGATGAGTAAGGAGAGAGAGAAAAACAGACTCCCACTCAAGATGAGCGTACAGACCCCAATTCCAATACACCCAAGGAAAAGTGATGCTGAAGACAACCAACAAAACCACCAGCTGGGAGATGGTCTCAAAGATTCAGTGAACTGGGAGTCAGCATTGAAGAATTTACCTGGAAAGATAAAGAAGGAAACAAGAAGGAGCAGTTGGGAGCTATGGGGATGGACTGAGAGGGGCTGCAACGTATCCAGCAGGATTGCCAGAAGAGGAGACATGGACTGGCAGAACAGCGATACTCAAGGACAGCGAGGCTGAGAATTTTCCATAACTGGAGACATTTTATAGATCCTCAGATTAAAAGCTCATACCAAGGGCCAAGCCAGAGAAGTGAAAAACCTCCACATCTGGGAAACCAGGGGCATGCTCCCTCTGCCCGGCTCATTCCATTCCTGCAATCCCTGTGCCATGGCCCTCTCCAGAAGCTGCCTGCCAACATCCTGCTGTTTCGGCCCCACTTCCGATCCTGGTACAGTGGGGAGAGCCCTGGGTTGGGGGCTAGGAGACGCAGGTTCGTGCCCCACATCTGTTGCTGCCTCAGACTCCTCATTGAGCATCGATCTCTCCCCCTAAAATTGGGTCTAGACCTTAACCTTAGAAGGGACTGTGGGCGTGGCATCATCACAGCAGACCATGGCTGCATGCAATTTCCAGCTCCCCCACTGAGCAGCTCGGTGCCCGCAACTTACTTAACCTCCGTGTCTGCTTCCCCATCAATGAAAGAGGATAATAACAGCTCCCACCTATGGGTTGTGTAGGGATGACATGAACTCACACATGTAAAGAGCTTAGTGCTGTGCCAGGCGCATAGTCAACACTGAACCAGGGCAGCCATTACTATTACTATAATAATAGCCCCCCACCAAACACCACTTAGTATGAGGGCTTCCGGTTGAAACCACGGTCACAGGCACAGCAGAACCAGGGCCCACTGCCACCTCTGCACTGTGGAATAGGCAAGCCAGCAGGCTGCCCCTCCCCACCCGTCTCCCTGACCACCCCATAGGCCCTCCTTGGCCTCCGAGAAGCCCCTCCCAGCAACCAACCATGAACTTCCCCAAATGCCAGTGCGCCCAGACCCCGCCCCAGCCCGCCCCCACCCCGTTGCCCTGGCACCCTACCTCTCTCTGCTCACTGCAGATCTTACACAGCCACAGGGGCCGCTTCTGGCCAGGGGAGGCCTCGATCCCACATTTGGTGCAGACTTTCTACAAGAGAGAGGACACGGGAACGTCAACACTTCAGCCACTTCCTCCTCGGCTGACGGGCTGGCAAAACTAACCAAGGGAGCTTTCCGCATCTTCCGAGGGGTGGCTGTGCTTCAGGCCAGGAGGGTGGATAACCCAAAGGGCACAGACCACCTACAACCTGCAGTTGGCTTTGGAACACAAGGGATGTGGCACCCGTGGGTCTCCATGAGATAAGTTCACCCCCACGATTACGTCCTGTTAGGATCACATCAGAAAAGAAGCGTGCTGATAGTCACAGCTGCATCATTTTCAACAGCAAAGGACTGGAAACAACCCAAACGCCCAATTCCAGAAGAACCAGGCAAACACAACAGAATGTGATACGCCCTTAACACAGCAGCCTCTGCCGATCCCTGGAAATGGGGACAGGAAATGACGTTATTCAACAAAGAAAACATACGTTTGTATGCAACCACGCGAAAAACTCATGTGTGTGCCCGGCAAGGTGAGAAGATGATACAGTGAGAAATAGCAGGGACAGCCTGAGCACTTACTTTACGCCAAGCCTCTTCGTTTAACGATCCCAGGAACGCTATTATGTAAGCTTTAGGCCCATTTTACAGGTGAGGAATCAGGGGCTCGGAACAGTTTGAGAATTTGCCCAAATTCACACAGCAAGTAATTGACTCAGGTCTGACTGTAGAGCCAGTACATAATTTCTTCCAAACACAAAAGTAGCCAGAACCTAGTCTCTGCTTAAGGTTGTAACTTCTAACTCCATATTTCTTCCCTGAAACACGCAGCCTGGAACTGTGGTGGGAAAGGCCAGATGAAACTGCCGGGAGGCAGAGGGGAACTTGGTGGGGCTCAGACCTCCTCCCTGCTAACCCCTGGAGTCTGGTTCAGCGACAGCGCATCTTCCTCAGAAAACTAGAGCACAGCGAACAATCTCACTGCCCCATGGAAGCCGCCCGGGCCCGGCAGGGCTGGGGGCTCTCTCCTGCCCCCCGCCACGGGAAGGCTGGATCTGTTGCTTGGCCTTTTCTGCAGGCTGCCAACTGAGCAAGAAGCACACTCTCTGCGGAGAGGGAAATGTCACCAACTTGGCTTCCCAGAGCATGTCGTCACTGCCTGATTGGGTGGCTAAGCCCAGCGCTGCGGGAGGTGGGGAGCCAGCTTGTGGCGGAAGGGGAACTGTGACACATTCATAAGGGACGTGCATTTGCTACCATCCAACAGTCAGGTACGAGAAATGTCACTTTTCTTCTATTTCTCCAAATAAAATGTAATCTGCTCCAAGCTCCTGTCTCCCTGGGCTGCAGGCAAGTCCGTCCTAGTCATGTTTGGGGCCCAGCTCTCATGAAGGGCCCAGGCTTGGGGTCTTTGGCGGTGCAGGAGGTCTGGGGAGGGTCCCCTGGGTGCCGACCAGGCTGCTTACTGCTGTGCTGCTCACCCTTGGAGCTCCCATGGTCCCTCAGAAGGGGGAAGGGGCCCGGCCACTTCTGTGCCAGGCCCGGGTTTGGGATCTGTGCCAGGCTGGGGCTCAGCCTGTCCCCCTGACCTGGTCTAGAGACTCTCCCTTCTCCACTAGAGCCACCTCTCTACTCCTCCCAACATTCACCCTCCACCTTCTACCTTTAGGACAGGGTCCCCCAGAAGCCCATAAGATGAGGCTCAAGAAACACACACAGCCTCTCCTCCTGGGGGTACAGAGAAGGAAGGAGGAATTTATCGGGCAATCGTGTGCACACCAGGCACCACAACCCTGCAATAAAGGAAGAAGGAGGTGGCTGTTATCTCCATTACACAGATGGAGAAACTGAGGCTCAGAGATGTAAACGACTGCTGAAGTCGCACAGCTGTTAGTGACTATCAGGATTTGGGAGGCTCCCTTCTTCCAGACCTCAGGAGAGCGGGCCAATACCCTCCCCGGCCCAGGTGCCAAGCTGGTGCCCACAGCTCTCCAGGGAGCTGGTGTGTGTCCTGGGGATGTTACTGATGGCTCTCAAATGAATGGGCAGAGAAGGTGACATGGGATGACCCTGGGACAAGGCTTTGCTGGGGAAGGGGCTGAAACCGGCATGTGCTCATCAGCTCCATGACACTGGTTCTAGGAGCAAAGACCTGGGCTGAGGAGTCTGGCTCTGCCCTCTGTGCTCTCTCTCGAGAGGGAGGGCAGCTGCTCTGCACAGGAGAGAGGTTTCTAGCCACAGGCAGGGAGCCCAGGCCCAGCGGCCTCCCCACCAACACCCAGGGGCTTCCCGGCAGCCTCTGCCCCTGTCTAGTCAGCTCGGGCTGCTGTAACAAAAATGCCATAGACTGGATGGCTGAAACACCAGACATGTACTTCTCACTGCTCTGGAGGCAGGAAGTCCAGACAAGGGTGTCAGCACGGTTGGGTTCTCCGTGAGCGCCCTTTACAGACGGCCGCCTTCGCGCTGTTGCTCACACAGCAGAGAGAGCTCTGGTCTCTTCCTCTTCTTATAAGGTCGCCAACTCCATCCTGGGGGCCACACCCTCATGGCCTCACCTAAACCTAATCACCTCCCAATGGCCTCACGTCCAAATTCTATCACATTGGAGTCAGGGCTTCAACATACGGATTTGAGGGCGACACAGCAGTCTCTGACCAGGACTGGGCCCCTGCCCCTGCTCCTGCACATGGGAAACCCTAGAAAGGGGCATGTGGTCAGCTACCTCAACCCCGGAATCACTGAGAGCCCCCAGTCCTCCTGGGCTGTCCACCTCATGCCATCCTGCACTCTCACCGACTTCATGTTCCAGAAACACTGCTCCGAGCTCGTTCAGAGGCAGTGTGGCTTGGTGTTGGGGCACAGGCTTTGGAGAAAGGCAGGCCTGGGGGACCCCTGGGAAGCTACTCGATGCCTAGCTAAGCCTCAAATGTTCCCATCTGCAAAATGGGATAATAATATTCATTTCCCCTAGGGTTGTCTGGTGATTAACTGAGACACACACGAAAGGCAACCAGCATATTATAAGCGCTTCATAAATGCCAGTCGTTATCATTAGTGACACCCCCTCGTGCCCTGTTCTGAAGCCCTGCGTGATTCTCCTCTAGACCTGCCCTGTCTAATGCGGCAGCCACCAGCCACGTGTGGCTATTTAAGTTGAAATTAATTAAAATTAAATAAAATGAAAAACTCAGTCCCTCAGCCACACTAACTACATTTCAAGTGCTCTAGAGCCACACGCAGTATATCCCAAATACTCCCTCCTCCCTTGCACCACAGGATGTTGTTGGGGGTCGGGGGGTGGCGTGACAGGGGACACCCTCCCTGGTCCACGCATAGCCCTGTTTGCAGGCTACCAGCCATCACTAGTGGAAAACCCAAGGTCAGTTCCCACAATCCCTCGGTCACCTTTACACACCTGCAGCATCTTCGGAAGGGGAATCTGCGGCAGCGAAAAGATAACATGCTCCCGTTCAAATAATATATAATTGCTGCTCTATTAAATCTTGGATCAATGAGAAGATAATGAGCCTTTTCCCCTTATGGGCTTGGTCTTTGTTCACAGGTTCCCATAAAGAAAATTAAGCAGGTGTATTTTAAAAAGCCAGTGAGAGTGTGAGCCAGCACAACATCAACTTGGTGCAAAGGGAACACTGCACGGTCGTGTCAGGGACAGCCCCGGGGCCTGGGGGTGGTGCCTGCTCCCCTGCCTGAGATGGGCTTCCACTGAGCGGAATTGCCCTGAGTGAGCGCTAGCTGCCCGGGCTTGGCTGCCTCAGGCCTCATGCAGCCTGGAACTGTGTCTGAGCCTTAAACAGACCAAGTCTAGCTTCCTGGCTTGACTCAGAGCAGAGGCGACAAAGCTCCAGGCCCTCAGCCTGCATGTGCTCTCTCCTCACTCCTGTCTCAGTCACTCCATGCACTCCTTTTGCAAATGTATACCCCAGGTTAGCACACACACGGAGCAGGGGAAAGCTCAGAGGATAGCCCACGAGTCATAGGCTTTGGGGAAGGAAAGCGCAGAGGATGCCATTTAGATGCAACTTTGGACTCGTTACTAACCTTCTCTGAGCCTCATTTCCTCATCTGTAAAATGTGGCCACAGGCAGACTCGGGCCTCAGTTGGGAGGATGAAGGGAGATGATTCACGAAAGCGCTTAGCACGGCACATGGTAAAGAGCAGGCAACAACCACAGTCCTTTCCCAGATGTCTGTCCCGGTGAAGGGTGCCAGCACCCATCAGTCATCCAGGCCAAAACCCAGAATCTTCCTCGATCCCCACTCTCCCTCATTCCCACCCAAATCATCCATCTCTAAGAACTGTAAGCCTCGCCCCAACTGTCAGCTGCCCTCCGTCCCCCTCCCCCATCCACGCTGCCCTGTCCAGGGCCTGGCCTGCACCCTGGCCTCCCAGCAGAGCCCCCCGATCCTCACTTTGGCCAGCCTCCAGTTGGCTCCCGGCACAGCAGTCAGAGTGATCTCTTCAAGACGCAAATCTAATCGTGTCATTTCTCCCGTCTCTGCCAGCTTAGAAACCTCCAGAGACTTACTGTTGCTCTCTGGATGAAGACCCCTTCCCACCTTTCACAGGGTGTGTGATGCCTGCTCAGGCTGGACCTGAGCTCCTTGCCGGCCTCAGCTCGCACCCCTCCCCCTGCTCCACTTTCCATTCTCCGAGCCCCAGCCACATTGGCCTGCCTTCAGTCCCTGGTCCTCAGTCTGCTTCTCCTGCCACAGGGCCTTGGCATGTACGGCTCCCTCTGCCTAGCATGCACTTGGACACAGTTGTTCTTCATTAAACTATGCATCCTTCAGACCTCAGCAAAAGCACCACTTCCTCAAGGACGGCTTCCTAGACTTCTTACCCGGCTGGGGGTCCCATAACAGGCTCTTGCCTCTTCTCCACTGTCAGGGCTGCAGTTTTGCCCTCATTCGTGTGGCTGTGTGACTACTGTCACTTCCTACCAGACTGTTGGCTCCCTGAGGGCAGAGGACATGTCTGTTTCTGTTTACCATCCTGTTTCCAGTCCCTGGCACAAAGAATAC